ACACAGAGACTCACCACACAGGGAGACTCACCACACAGAGACTCACCACACAGAGACTCACCACAGACACTAACCCAGTGGTTCTTAACCTGGGTTCGATCGAACCCCAGGGGTTCGGTGAGTCGATCTCAGGGGTTCGGCAGAGCCCCCGCCACGGAGGTCCGGACACACTTGAATTATTGTGTAAATTTGTGATGACACACACGGCCCGCTTGGCCATCACTGGCTGCAGATGATCATGCTACACTGCTTGGCCAATCAGCGCTGCGGGGAATTTAGTGCGTACTCAGTAGTCAACGTGTGACTGTTGTTGTCGTACGTCGTGTGATTTCTTTAATATTTTATCCATACTAACTATGTCGGGCAAAAGAAGAAAGTGGTCGGACGAATATGTACAACATGGATTCTCATGTATCACGGAACGTGATGGGAGTGAGCGTCCTATCTGCATGATTTGCAACGCCAAGTTGAGCAACTCTAGTCTTGCACCGGAAAAACTAAAGGAATACTTCTTGAAGCTGCATGGAGACGGGGAATACAAGAACACAACACTTGCTGAATTCAGGGTGAAGAGAGCCAGATTCGATGAAAGGGCCACTCTGCCTGCTCTTGGATTTGTACCTGTTAACAAACCGATCCTGACAGCATCGTACGAAGTTGCTTACCTGATCGCAAAGCAGGGCAAGCCACACACCATTGGTGAAACATTTGTGAAACCAGCTGCATTAAAGATGGCGAATCTGATACTCAGAACAGCGGCCGAAGGTAAATTATCCCAAATTCCCCTTTCAAATGACACCGTCAGTGACAGAATAGAAGACATGACTAAAGACATCTTGGCTCAAGTAGTCGCGGATCTGATTTCAAGCCCGGCAAAATTCAGCCTTCAACTCGATGAAACCACAGACGTTTCTGATCTAAGCCAGCTTGCTGTTTTTGTACGCTATGTGAAAGACGACATGATAAAAGAAGAGTTTTTATTTTGTAAGCCTCTTACAACAACAACGAAGGCAGCCGATGTGAAGAAGCTTGTGGATGACTTCTTCAGAGACAACAATCTTTCATGGGATATGGTTTCTGCAGTTTGTACGGACGGAGCTCCAGTCATGCTGGGAAGAAAGTCTGGTTTTGGTGCGCTAGTAAAGGCCGATGCACCACACATCATTGTGACGCATTGTATTCTGCACAGGCATGCGTTGGCAACAAAAACCTTACCTCCAAAAATGGCAGAAGTATTAAAAACTGTGGTGGAATGTGTGAACTATGTGCGAAAAAGTGCTCTGAGGCACCGCATCTTCAGTGAGCTGTGTAAAGAAATGGGCTCTGAATTTGAGGTATTTCTGTTCCATTCTAATATTCGGTGGTTATCCCGGGGACAGGTGCTGAATCGTGTTTTTGCCATGCGTGTGGAATTAGCCCTGTTTTTGCAAGAGCACCAACACTGCCATGCAGATTGCTTCAAAAATCCTGAGTTCATTCTCATTTTAGCGTACATGGCTGATATATTCGCAGCTCTCAATCATCTCAATCAGCAGATGCAGGGTGGTGGAGTCAATATCATGGAAGCGGAAGAACACCTGAAGGCTTTTCAAAAAAAGCTACCGTTATGGAAACGACGAACAGAGAACAATAACTTCGCAAACTTCCCGCTTCTGGACGACTGTGCAAGTAAGATCGAAGATGTGTCTGGAATCGGAGATATTTCTGTATCCACGGAACTGAAGCAAACAATTGCCACGCACTTAGATGAGCTTGCAAAGTCTCTCGACGGATATTTCCCTACAAGAGAGTCATATCCAGCATGGGTGAGACAGCCGTTCACGTTTGCTGTTGAAACAGCAGATGTCAATGATGAATTCCTCGACGAAATCATTGAAATTCAGCAGAGCCAGGTTCAACAGCAACTCTTCAGAACAACAACGCTCTCAACGTTTTGGTGTCGACAAATGAACAAGTATCCAGTTATTGCTAAGAAAGCCCTGGATTTTTTTATACCATTTGTTACAACATATCTTTGTGAGCAATCCTTTTCGAGGATGCTGGACATAAAAACGAAGAAAAGGAACAGACTTTGCTGTGAAAATGACATGAGAGTGGCACTTGCCAAGGTGAAGCCACGCATATCTGAACTGATCTCTCAAAGGCAACAGCAGAAGTCACATTGATTTCCAGGTATGTAATTTGTTGTGAGTTTATGCATTGTGTTGGTTTTATTCTTTGAACAAGGTAATGTTCATGCACGGCTCATTTTGTGTACCAGTAAAAAACATATCTATGTCTTGAATTTGAAAAAAAAATCACATTTTATTTTTCACTAAAGAGGGGTTCGGTGAATGCGCATATGAAACTGGTGGGGTTCGGTACCTCCAACAAGGTTAAGAACCACTGCACTAACCACACAGGGAGACTCACGGACTGACCACACGTTCTGCAGGCAGAAGGAGCGTCGCCGCCGCGCTCCACGTGACAGTGACGTGCTGCTGCGTGGCGTCCTGCTGAGCGAGGGCGACAAGAGCCTGCTGCAGCGGTGGACTCGCCTCAAGGAGCGCAGCGCCAACACCGCCAACACCGGCGGCACCGGCAACATCGCCAACACCGGCACCGCCAACGCCGGCACCACCGCCGGCACCGCCAACGCCGGCACCGCCACGGCGGCGGAATCGGCCCCGGTGGCCCCGTTTCCCACGGGGCCACCGGGGCCACCGGGGCCACCGGGGCCCTGCCTTGAGGCCGCCGGTTCGGCACCGGCGGCGGCACCGGCGGCCGCCCCCGGGCCCGCCGCGCGGGGGCCCCCGGCGGCGCCCGACGTCGTGGGGCCGGTGGCCCCGGTGCCGGTGGCCCCGGTGCCGGTGGCCGTGGCCGCGGCCTCGGCGCCGGTGAAGGGGGGCGAAGCGGCCGGGGCTGCCCCGCCGGCTTCTCGCGGCCTTGGCGAGGCAACGGCGGCCGTGGCCGGGCCCGCAGCAGCGGCAGCTTCAGCTTCAGCTTCTTCAACTTCTTCTTCTTCAACTTCTTCTTCAACTTCTGCTGCTGCTTCTTCTGCTTCTAGCCGGGACGCCGGTGGAGTGGCGGCCGCGAGGTCCGAATGGGGGGCCGAAGCGCTCGCAGGGGTCAGCCCGGGCTCAGGAGAGGCCTCGGGCCTGCCGAGGCAGAGGGGGACCACGATGGCCGCCGCCGCCGCCGCGTCGGCGGTGTCGCCTCCTCATCCTCATCCTCCTCATCCTCCTCCTCCTCATCCTCCTCATCCTCATCCTCATCATCCTCCTCATCCTCCTCCTCATCCTCCTCCTGGCCTGGATGTTGTTGGACAGGCGGCCGCTCGGTCCGCTTGGGGGGCCGAAGCGCTCGCCGCCGTCACGCCGTCCTGCCTGCCGGCGGCGGCGGCGGCGGCAGCGGCGGCGGGGATTGGAGGCTGTGCGGGAGCCGTCGCGTTCCGCCCAATCGCACCGCGCTACCCCCACGCTCCCGTGCAGCGGCAGCAGCAGCAGCCACAGCAACAACAGCAGCAGCAGCAGCCGCAGCAGCAACAGCAGCAACAGCAGCAGCAGCAGCAGCAACAACAGCATCAGCAGCAGCCACAGCAACAGCAGCAGCAGCAGCAGCAGCCGCAGCAGCAGCAGCAGCCGCAGCAGCAGAGTCATCGACGGTTGAACCCCGAGCAACAGCAGGGGTCAGGCATGAGCTGCTGCCCCGATGTTCACTTGGAGAGGCTGAGCAGTTGCCTGCAACAGCAGCAGCAACAGCAGCAACAGCATCAGCAGCAGCAGGCACAAGATAGGCTTCGGCATAGCGAGAAGAGTCTGTATCAGCAGCAGCAGCAACAGCAGCAACAACAGACACAATCGCACGATAGGGTGCAACAGGATGAGTGTCTTTATCAGCATCAGCATCATCATCATCAGCAGCAGCAGCATCGATCTCATGAGATTCTCCGGCAAGATCAGAATGTGTATGAGCATCAGCAAAAGCTGCTTTATCATCAGCTAGACCACCAGCAGCAGCAGCAACATCAGCAGCAGCAGCAGCAGCTACAGGCGAATGAGAGTCTCTATCAGCAGCAGCATCATCATCATCAGCAACAGCAGCAGCAGCAGCACGGCGGACTAGAGGAGGATCGATGTCTGTATCAGCAGCAGATGCTGTTTCGACAGCTGAACCACAACCACCACCACCACCACAACCACAGCAACCACCACCAATATCAGCAGCAGCAGCAGCAGCAGAATGTGAACATCCGTGATTCGGCGCTGGGGTTGTCTTTGTCGCAAGACGTCAACTTCCAAGCGAGCATGGAGCAGGGATTGGACATCGCCGAGGAGCTACTGCATCATCGGCAGCAGCAGCAGGATCAGCAGCAGGATCAGCAGCAGCAGCAGCAGGATCAGCAGCAGCAAGGGCAGAATGGGCAGGCGGGCGATGTCCAGGTGTGTCAACACTCCTTGGAATCTCAGCTGGAGGACATTGCCAGCGTGACCCATCAGCTCTCAAAGTCACAGGTGGGTGGGTGGGTGAGTGTGTGTGTGTGCGTTTGGCACAGTAGGGGGCACAGGTGGCGCATCATCTCGGTCATCTCAGTCAGTCGACCCGTGGCTGGCACCTGCCAGCGGGCGGTCGACACATTTCAAGTGATAGCCTCAAGGTGCACATGGCCTGGCACAAGCGTCGTGGTGACGTCACCGCCACTTGGTGGCGAATGGCGGTTGTTGTTGTTGTTGTTGTTTTGTGATTACAGGTTCGTAGCGCTACGCTGGCGCTATGAACCCGGCGACCCGGGTTCGATTCCCGCTCACGGCCAACACCGGTGACGATTATCTGAACCGGTCCCGGGCCTCCCCTAGGTCGACTCGGCCTCAAATGAGTACCTGGTGCGGTGTGTAAACATCGCCACTGGGGAGACAAAGGCGGCCGGGCGTGGTGTTGGCCACCCCACCCCCCTCGTGTACCGTTCCGGCCTTTATAGGCACTCGCTAACAGCACTTGCCCCGACAGTCTGTTAAGGCTACACGGTGGATCTTTGTCTTTGTGTGCGTGTTTTTTGTGATAACAGATCGCGAATGACGCTTTAACTCCATCAAAAAAGTTAACTTGCAGCACCACACCTATCGCCATCATTCGGGGAAAGAACGGTGATCTGATCTCCAAACCCTAGGAACGGGTTTTGCAGATGTGCTGAGGATTTCTGTGAGGTCTTGGGGTAGGGGAAATCCCTCAGCCTGGAAAACATCGTGGCACAAAGTGGGGATGACCCTGCTGAGGCTGCCGTGCCTCAACTATTGGAAGAAGTCACCCTCTGTGAGTGGCTGGCTGAGGTGCCATCTGTTGAGGAAGTACTGAAGGCGATCCGGAGTCTGAGACCAGGAAATGCGCCGGGCAGAGATGATCTCCCAAGCGAAATGCTGAGGGAGGGTGGTGTTGGTGCACAGACTGCCCTACATGACATCACAACAACTGTCTGGACCACTGGATGGGTTCCGCAGGATTGTATGGATGCCCTGGTGGTCCCCATCTTTAAGAAGGGGGACCGCACAGACTGTAACAACTACAGGGGCATCTCACTCCTCAGTGTGCCGGGAAAGGTCCTGGCAAGGATTATTCAACATCGCCTCGCCAGGCACGCTGAGGAGAGGCTTGCGGAGCCCCAATGCGGTTTCAGGAAAGGGCAGTCCTGCACAGATGCCGTATTCTCTGTCCGTGTCCTAGAGCAGACCTATATCTCCACTTTATAGACCTGGTCAAGGCCTATGATATTATCAACAGGCCAGGGCTCTGGGCTGTTCTTCGTGCTTTTGGAGTACCTGACTCTCTGCTCACGATCATTAAGGACCTTCGTGATGGTGGGCAGGCCTGGGTGAAGCTATTTGGCCGGGAATCAGAGCCATTGCCTGTACACCTTTGGGCTGCGACAGGGATGTCCTCTGGCTCCCACATTATTTAATGCCATATTTGACCACGTAGTTCGAGAAGCTTTCCATGGCTGTACCGGAAGAATTTCCATCTGGTACAGATACAGTGGGAGGCTGATCGATGCCCGGGTGCGGTCAAGGGATGGCTCCCTATTGCTCAACCACATTACGTACACCGATGATCTGGTAATTGCTGCTCATTCAGAGGAGGAGTTGGAGGCGCTGCTGCTGAACCTGCAATGTGCCACCAAGAGATGGGGCCTTACCATCAGCCCCACCAAAAACTAAGCACCTACCTTGGTATTTTGTACCATCGGACACTCCACCCCCTCAGCTCCCCATCGGTGATGGGGCAGTTGTGGAGAGAGTGGAGAGTTTCCCATTCCTGGGCAGTGTGCTCATGACCGGCTCCGGTTTGACAGCAGAGGTCTCACTCCGAATCGGTCGGGGCGGCAATATCTTTTCATCGACCGCAGTAAAAAAATGATGGATGGTAACGCCGTGGTAGTTGTAAGCAATGCCATGGTGGGAACTGACAATTCCCATTGGCTCTACCCCTCATGGAAGCTTGCAGCCACCACAGCGGCCAACGGGGGGGGGGGGGGGGGGGGCTCTGGACGGGTGCAAGGGGCTGGTGACGCCCTCCAATTTAATTGCCACAAAAGCGAGTGTTGGCAAAATATTCAACTGAGCTTGTGCTGGAGGCCCCAGGGGGACAGTGCGTCCGTGACGCGTCTTCTGGCCAAAACCCCAATTGGCAGAGTCAGGAGATTGAATCTCTACCCTCGGGGCTCCTCCATAAACACCGAAAAGCCACTACGGATGGCCACATGGAATGTTCGAACGCTCACTGCGGAGGAGAGAGGCTGCCACTCATCTGTCGGGAGCTGGACCGTTACCACCTGGATCTCTGCGGCATTCGGGAGGTCCGGTGGACCGGCTCTGGCTCCTGCCACCATGAGGGGTGGACAGTCCTCTGCTCGGGGCAGGAGACTGCCAAACAACAGGGTGTGGCTCTTCTTCTGAACAAAAGTATGAAGGGGGGCGTGGGAGCGTGGCGGTGAGGTGTGGGAAGCTGTAAGCCCCAGGCTACTTTGGGCTCGCCTTTCCATCAACCGGAGGCCGAGGAGTGTTGGTCGTGGTTACTTGTGCCCCCACCGAAGACGAACATCCGTGGAGGGATGCAGGCAAGGCCGACGAGTCGGACTCCTTCTATGACCTCCTGTCACAGGTGCTGGCTAAAGTGGCCCCTCGGGATAGAGTCATCTTGTTGGGCGACTTCAATGCCCGAGTTGGTCATGATTCTGGCACCTGGCCTGGAGTGATTGGAAGGCATGGGCCGGATCAGCTCAATAACAACGGTAGGAGGCTGCTAGACTTCTGTGCAGCCCACGGGCTCGTAGTTACCAACCATCATCCGCACAGCATCGTGGATACGCGCCGGGTCCTAGCGAGGACGTCTGCCGGACTACGTGGCAGCGATTGTCCACCCCGTGTGTGTGTGTGATTGTCCACCACCACCACCACCACCACCACCCCCCCTCTCCTCTAGGTGGTGGATCCGTTGCCCCCAGCGTTCCCAGTGACCCCCAAAGGAAGCGGCTTGGGATACGGCGTGGGGTTCGACCTCAACGACTTCATAGACCAGTCGTTCACCAGCGGACACGGCGGGGACAGGGACGGGTACGGAGACACGCAGACAAGACACGGAGAGAGGCAGGGGGAGACACGGGGAGACACGGGGAGACACGGGGAGACACGGGGAGACGCAGGGAGACACAACGTGGGGTTCTACCTCAACGACTTGGTAGACCAGTCGTTCACCAGCGGACACGGCGGGGACAGGGACGGGTACGGAGACACGCAGACAAGACACGGAGAGAGACAGGGGGAGACACGGGGAGACACGGGGAGACACGGAGAGACACGGAGAGACACGGAGAGACACACGGGGAGACACGGGGAGACACGGGGAGACACGGGGAGAGACGGGGAGACACGGGGAGACGCAGGGAGACACGGAGAAAAGCAGGGAGACACGGCGTGGGGTTCTACCTCAACGACTTCATAGACCAGTCGTTCACCAGCGGACACGGCGGGGACAGGGACGGGTACGGAGACACGCAGACAAGACACGGAGAGAGACACGGGGAGACACGGGGAGACACGGGGAGACACGGAGAGACACGGAGAGACACGGGGAGACACGGAGAGACACACGGGGAGACACAGGGAGACACGGAGAGACACGGGGAGACACGGGGAGACAGGGGGAGACACGGGGAGACATGGGGAGACACGGGGAGACGCAGGGAGACACGGGGAGACACGGGGAGACACGGGGAGACGCAGGGAGACACAGCGTGGGGTTCGACCTCAACGACTTCATAGACCAGTCGTTCACCAGCGGACACGGCGGGGACAGGGACGGGTACGGAGACACGCAGACAAGACACGGAGAGAGACACGGGGAGACACGGGGAGACACGGGGAGACACGGAGAGACACGGAGAGACACGGAGAGACACGGAGAGACACACGGGGAGACACAGGGAGACACGGAGAGACACGGGGAGACACGGGGAGACAGGGGGAGACACGGGGAGACACGGGGAGACACGGGGAGACGCAGGGAGACACGGGGAGACACGGGGAGACACGGGGAGACGCAGGGAGACACAGCGTGGGGTTCGACCTCAACGACTTCATAGACCAGTCGTTCACCAGCGGACACGGCGGGGACAGGGACAGGTACGGAGACACGCAGACAGGACACGGAGAGAGACACGGGGAGACACGGGGAGAGACACGGAGAGACACGGAGAGACACGGGGAGACACGGGGAGACACGGAGAGACAGGGGGAGACACGGCGTGGGGTTCTACCTCAACGACTTGGTAGACCAGTCGTTCACCAGCGGACACGGCGGGGACAGGGACGGGTACGGAGACACGCAGACAAGACACGGAGAGAGGCAGGGGGAGACACGGGGAGAGACGGAGAGACACGGAGAGAGACACGGGGAGACACGGAGAGACGCGGGGAGACACGGAGAGAGACACGGAGAGACACGGGGAGACACGGGGAGACACGGAGAGACACGGGGAGACACGGGGAGACACGGAGAGAGACACGGGGAGACACGGAGAGACACGGAGAGAGACACGGGGAGACACGGAGAGACGCGGGGAGACACGGGGAGACACGGGGAGACGCGGGGAGACACGGGGAGAGACACGGGGAGACACGGAGAGACACGGGGAGACACGGGGAGAGACACGGGGAGACACGGAGAGAGACACAGAGAGACACGGGGAGACACGGAGAGAGACACGGAGAGACGCGGGGAGACACGGAGAGACACGGGGAGAGACACGGGGAGACACGGGGAGACACGGAGAGACACGGGGAGAGACACGGGGAGACACGGAGAGAGACACGGAGAGAGACGCGGGGAGACACGGACGGGCGCGTGCACTTCTCTCCGTGTCTCTCACCAATAATCTCCACGTCCCCGTCGTGTGTCTCTCTCTCTCGCGTGCCCCCCCCCGCAGGTCCGCCGATTCCGCGTCTCTGTCCGCGTGTCTGCTCACCGAGTGGCTGTCCGGCCGTGAGCTCGACCCGGCGGAGATGGAGCGGCTCCAGCGGGATCTGGATCCCGGGTCCCCACGCTCTCCACCCCCCACCTCGCCGTCAACCCCCCGCCTCTCGGGGGGGCGGGGGGGAGGTCTGAACTAACACTATTGCAGGCAGTGTCCTCCCCGACTTACGAACGGCCCCGACTTACGAACACGCGCACTTACAAAACCGACTTCCACGAGATTTGTCTTTTTTTTTTACTTGAACGTGAACTGGCGCATACCTTTTTTTTTTTTTACAGAGACCCACAGAGACTCACAGAGACCCGCAGAGACTCACAGAGACCCACAGAGACCCACAGAGACCCACAGAGACCCACAGAGACACACAAAGACCCACAGAGACCCACAGAGACCTACAGAGACCCACAGAGACCCACAGAGACCCACAGAGACGCACAGAGACGCACAAAGACCCACAGAGACCCACAGAGACCCACAGAGATGCACAAAGACCCACAGAGACCCACAGAGACCCACAGAGATGCACAGAGACCCACAGAGACCCACAGAGACCCACAGAAACCTCAGAGACCCACAGAGACCCACAGAGACCCACAGAGACCCACAGAGACCCACGGAGACGCACGGAGATCCACAGAGACCCACAGACCCACAGAGACCACAGAGACCCACAGAGAGCCACAGCCCCATAGAGACCAATGGAGACGCACAGAGACCCACAGAGACCCACAGAGACCCACAGAGACCCACAGAGACCCACAGAGACGCACAGAGACCCACAGAGACCCACATAGACCCACAGAGACGCACAGAGACTCACAGAGACGCACAGAGACCCACAGAGACCCACAAAGACCCACAGAGACGCACAGAGACGCACAGAGACGCACAGAGACCCACAGAGAACCACAGAGACCCACAGAGACCCACAGAGATGCACAGAGACCCACAGAGACCCACAGAGACCCACAGAGACCCACAAAGACGCACAGAGACCCACAGAGACCCACAGAGACCCACAGAGACCCACAGAGACCCACAGAGACCCACAGACCCACAGAGACCCACAGAGACCCACAAAGACCCACAGAGACCCATAAAGACCCACAGAGACGCACAGAGACCCACAGAGACCCACAGAGACCCACAGAGACCCACATAGACTCACAGAGACCCACAGAGACGCACAGAGACGCACAGAGACCCACAGAGACCCACAGAGACCCACAGAGACGCACAGAGACGCACAGAGACCCACAGAGACCCACAGAGACCCACAGAGACCCACAGAGACCCGCAGAGACCCACATAGACCCACAGAGACGCACAGAGACCCACAGAGACCCACAGAGACCCACAAAGACCCACAGAGACCCACAGAGACCCACAGAGACTCACAGAGACCCACAGAGACCCACAGAGACCCACAGAGACCCACATAGACCCACATAGACCCACGGAGACCCACGGAGACCCACGGAGACTCACAGAGACCCACAGAGACCCACAGAGACCCACAGAGACCCACAGAGACGCACAGAGACGCACAGAGACGCACAGAGACCCACAGAGACCCACAGAGACCCACAGAGACCCACAGAGACGCACATAGACCCACAGAGACCCACAAAGACCCACAGAGACGCACAGAGACTCACAGAGACGCACAGAGACGCACAGAGACGCACAGAGACCCACAGAGACCCACAGAGACGCACAGAGACCCACAGAGACCCACAGAGACCCACAGAGACGCACAGAGACCCGCATAGACCCACATAGATCCATATAGACTCACAGAGACCCACAGAGACCCACAGAGACTCGCAGAGACTCACAGAGACCCACATAGACCCACAGAGACGCATAGAGACCCACATAGACCCACATAGACCCACAGAGACCCACAGAGACTCACAGAGACCCATATAGACCCACAGAGACCCACAGAGACGCACAGAGACCCACAGAGACCTACAGAGACCCACAAAGACCCACAGAGATGCACAGAGACCCACAGAGACCCACAGAGACCCACAGAGACCCACAGAGACCCACAGAGACCCACAGAGACCCACATAGACCCACAGAGACCCACAGAGACCCACAGAGACTCACAGAGACCCATAGAGACCCACAGAGACCCACAGAGACGCACAGAGACCCACAGAGACCCACAAAGACCCACAGAGACCCGCAGAGACCCACAGAGACCCACAGAGACCCACAGAGATGCACAGAGACCCACAGAGACCCGCAGAGACCCGCAGAGCCCCACAGAAACCCACAGAGACGCACAGAGACCCACAGAGACCCACAGAGACGCACATAAACCCACAGAGACCCACAGAGACCCACAGAGACCCACAGAGACGCACAGAGACCCACAGAGACCCACACTCACAGAGACCCACAGAGACCCACAGAGACCCACACTCACAGAGACCCACAGAGACCCACAGAGACCCACAGAGACCCACAGAGACGCACAGAGACCCACAGAGACCCACAGAGACCCACACTCACAGAGACCCACAGAGACCCACAGAGACCCACACTCACAGAGACCCACAGAGACCCACAGAGACCCACAGAGACCCACAGAGACCCACAGAGACTCACAGAGACCCATATAGACCCACAGAGACCCACAGAGACCCACAGAGACCCACATAGACCCACAGAGACCCACAGAGACGCACAGAGACCCACAGAGACCTACAGAGACCCACAAAGACCCACAGAGACCCACAGAGACCCACAGAGACCCACAGAGACCCACAGAGACCCACAGAGACCCACAGAGACCCACAGAGACCCACATAGACCCACAGAGACCCACAGAGACCCACAGAGACCCACAGAGACCCACAAAGACCCACAGAGACGCACAGAGACCCACAGAGACCCACAGAGACCCACAGAGACCCACAGAGACCCACAGAGACCCACAGAGACCCACAGAGACCCACAGAGACCCATACTAAAACTAAACTCCCCCACTGAGTTGCAGTGTAGCTCTTTGTTCAGACGAGCGGTTACCTGGCCATCACAAATGATAGCAGCGCAACGCAGTGTGTGTCTGTGTTTACGTGTGTACGTGTGGCTGTGTGTACGTGTGTGTGTCTGTGTGTGTACGTGTGTGTGTGTACGTGTGTGTGTACGTGTGTGTCTATGTGTGTGTACGTGTGTGTGTCTGTGTGTGTACGTGTGTGTGTCTGTGTGTACGTGTGTGTGTACGTGTGTGTCTATGTGTGTGTGTGTCTGTGTGTGTACGTGTGTGTGTCTGTGTGTGTCTGTGTGTGTGTCTGTGTGTGTACGTGTGTGTGGAGTGGTAGCGTAGTGGTTAGCGCTACGGGTTTGATTCCCGCTAACGGCCACCACCACCACCACCAGTGACGATTATCTGCACCCGTCCTGGGCCTCGCCTAGGTCGACTCAGCCTCAAATGAGTACCCGGTGTGTAGTAAACATCGCCACTAGGGAGACAAAGGCGGCTTGGGCACGGTGTTGGCCACCCACCCCCTCGTGTAGCCACAGTGCTGGTAGCCTTCACAGGTGCTCGCTAACAGCCCTTGCCCCAACAGTCTGTTAAGGCTATACGGGGGTACTTTGTGGGTGGGTGGGTGAGTGAGATTGTGGGTGGGTGAGTGGGTGGGTGAGAGTGTGGGTGGGTGAGGGTGTGGGTGAGTGAGATTGTGGGCGAGTGAGATTGTGGGTGAGTGGGTGGGTGGGTGAGAGTGTGGGTGGGTGGGTGAGAGAGTGGGTGGGTGGGTGGGTGAGAGAGTGGGTGGGTGAGAGAGTGGGTGGGTGGGTGAGAGAGTGGGTGAGAGAGTGGGTGGGTGGGTGAGAGAGTGGGTGGGCGAGAGAGTGGGTGGGTGGGTGAGAGAGTGAGTGGGTGGGTGAGAGAGTGGATGGGTGGGTGAGAGTATGGGTGGGTGAGAGTGTGGGTGTGTGGGTGGGTGAGAGGGTGGATGTGTGGGTGAGTGGGTGAGTGGGAGTGTGGGTGGGTGAGTGAGAGTGGGTGGGTGAGAGGGTGAGTGGGAGTGTGGGTGGGTGAGAGTGTGGGTGGGTGAGAGTGTGGGTGGGTGAGAGTGTGGGTGGGTGAGAGTGTGGGTGGGTGAGAGTGTGGGTGGGTGAGAGTGTGGGTGAGTGAGTGAGTGAGAGTGTGGGTGAGAGGGTGAGTGAGTGTGGGTGAGAGGGTGAGTGAGTGTGGGTGAGAGGGTGAGTGTGGGTGAGAGGGTGTGTGAGTGTGGGTGAGTGTGGGTGAGTGTGGGTGAGAGGGTGGGTGAGAGCGTGGGTGAGTGTGGGTGAGTGAGTGAGTGGGTGAGTGAGTGAGAGGGTGGGTGAGAGTGTGGGTGAGAGTCTGGGTGAGAGGGTGGGTGAGAGCGTGGGTGAGTGAGTGGGTGAGTGAGTGAGAGTGTGGGTGGGTGAGAGTGTGGGTGAGTGAGAGTGTGGGTGAGTGGGTGTGTGAGTGGGTGTGTGAGTGGGTGTGTGAGTGTGTGGGTGAGTGGGTGGGTGAGAGTGTGGGTGAGTGTGGGTGAGTGGGTGGGTGAGTGTGGGTGAGTGGGTGGGTGAGTGGGTGGGTGAGTGAGTGTGTGGGTGAGTGGGTGGGTGAGAGTGTGGGTGAGTGTGGGTGAGTGGGTGGGTGAGTGAGTGAGAGTGTGGGTGAGTGGGTGAGTGGGTGAGTGAGTGGGTGAGTGAGTGAGTGGGTGAGTGAGTGGGTGGGTGAGTGAGTGGGTGGGTGAGTGAGTGAGAGTGTGGGTGAGAGTGTGGGTGAGTGTGGGTGGGTGGGTGAGTGGGTGGGTGGGTGAGTGAGTGTGTGAGTGAGAGTGTGAGTGAGTGGGTGAGTGGGTGAGTGAGTGAGTGGGTGAGTGAGTGGGTGTGTGAGTGAGAGTGTGGGTGAGTGAGTGAGAGTGTCGGTGAGAGTGTGAGTGAGTGGGTGAGTGAGTGGGTGAGTGAGAGTGTGGGTGAGTGAGTGGGTGAGTGGCCACCCACTCTCTCATGTGTCAGTGCCGGTCGCCTTCATTGGTGCTGCTCGCTAACAGCACTTGCCCCCACAGCCTGCTAGAGGCCACACAGGGACCTTTGTCTTGTTGGTGTAACTCTCTGACCCCCGTGTCCCCCTGACATCTGTGACAGCGCTTCACAGATTTTCGGATTGTTACTGCTGCTGCTGCATTCTAAATGTTACAGACTATGATACTGTGAGATTTTATACGAAATATAGAATTTTAAACTATATATTGCAATTATAATTGTCTTTTTCACCGTATGAAAGTTAATCCCATACAAAGAAGTATTTTTTTTAAGATTTATAATTTTAACTCTGCGCTACTGTACATGAAATAAACGAGTTAAAGAATTTCAGTGGGCCAATCAAAACGCCTCGTTCCAGACGCACTCGAGCTGACCTTGGTCCGCTCCACCAATGAGAGCACGCGTCTCATTGTGGACCCTCCCCCCCCCCTCCACCTTCCCCCGGAGTCAGCTCAACGTCCAATCACAGGCCTCCTTATCCTGGGTCTATTTACAACCGACCAATGAGAGCGCGCGTCTCATCGTGGAACCCCCTTCCTCCCCACCACTCTCCTCCATGCCCATATTAGGAGTGAGCGAGGCAGAGTCCCCCTCGGCGTCCAATCACAGGCCTCGTATCCGGGTCTCTTCACAGTCGGACCAATGGGAGCGCGCGTCTCAATGTGGACCCTCCCCCCCACCTTCCCCCGGAGTCAGTTTAACGTCCAATCACAGGCCTCCTTATCCTGGGTCTATTTACAATCGACCAATGAGAGCGCGCGTCTCATTGTGCCCCCCCCCCCCGTCACCTCGACATCCAATCACAGGCCTCATCATCCGGGTTTCTTCACAAACAACCAATGGCGCGCGTCTCATCGTGTCCACGTGCCCCTTGCCGCCACGCCCACGTCTATATAAGGAGCGAGGGGGCGTTACCTCGGCGTTCAATCACAAAACCTCTTTATCGTCTTATTCTTGGTGCTATCGGTAAAGTCAGGTAGAAAATAAAACTACATTGATTTTTATTTCATTTAATTTTATTATATTTTATTTGTATTTTCTATCTACGTGGTTTTACCGAAAGAACCAAGAATATTAATTCCTGCATTCACCAAAGTTTTAAGTAAATCTCTTATAATTTTCACTGACCAATGGGAAGCGCGCGTCTTATCGTCGACACCCCTCCCCTTTGTCGCCCCGCCCACGTCTATATAAGGAGCGAGGCAGAGGTCAAGCCGGCCTCGTCGACCAATCACAGGCCTTGTGTATAGCATCCGGGTCGCTTCACATCCGACCAATGGGAGCGCGCGTCACATCGTTGACACCTCCCCTCGGCCGCCCTTCCCACGTCTATATAAGGAGCGAGGTCGAGTCACCTCGGCCTCCAATTACAAAACTCGTATCATCTTCACTGACCAATGGGAGTGCGCGTCTCATCGTGGACACCCCCCCCTCCGCCGTCCCGCCCATGTCTATATAAGGAGCGATGTGGAGTTACCTCGGCGTTCCAATCCAATCACAAACCTCTTATCATCTTCACTGACCAATGGGTGTGCGCGCGTCTCATCGTGGACACACCCTCACACCACCGCCCCGCCCACGTCTATATAAGGAGCGAGGTGGAGGTTGAACGCCGCCATTGCTCCGCTATCGCGCGCCCTTGACGCAGTTGTCCTGAGGGAGGAAACATTTTAAAAAAATCCCCCCCCTAAAACCATTAGACGGCTGTTGTCGATTACGCCCTTTGTCGTCGTTTTGTTAATAACAATAAACAAACAATCGCCGTGAAGATGTCCGCGTTGGCTGTGATGCGCGGCCTGGCGGGCCTCAGACGCCCCCTGACGCGATCGGTCTCCTCGCTGCCCGCGGAGCACGCGATTGGTGGAGCGGTGAGTCACGTGGGGGGGTAACGATGTGGTAACGTGAGGTGGGGGTGATGGTAACGATGTGGTAACGTGGGGGTGATGGTAACGATGTGGTAACGTGGGGGTGATGGTAACGATGTGGTAACGTGGGGGTGATGGTAACGATGTGGTAACGTGAGGTGGGGGTGATGGTAACTATGTGGTAACTATGTGGTAACGTGGGGGTTATGGTAACGATGTGGTAACGTGAGGTTGGGGTGATGGTAACGATTTGGTAACGATGTGGTAACGTGGGGGTGATGGTAATGATGTGGTAACGATGTGGTAACGTGGGGGTGATGGTAACGATGTGGTAACGTGGGGTGGGGGTGATGATAACGATTTGGTAACGATGTGGTAACGTGGGGGTGATGGTAACGATGTGCTAACGTGGGGGTGATGGTAACGATGTGGTAACGATGGGGTGGGGGGTAACGATGTGGTAGGGGGAGGGGGGGTGAGGTAACGAGGGGGGTAACGTGGGGAGTCACGAAGGTGGTGAAGAGGTCACTGAAGGTCACGGAGGTGAACCGGTGGTGTGTGGGTGATGGTGGTGGTGAGTGGGTGATGGTGGTGGTGTGTGGGTGATAGTTAGCGCGCTGCGCTATGAACCTGGCGACCCGGGTTCGATTCCCGCTCACGGCCAACACCAGTGACGATTATCTGAACCGGTCCCGGGCCTCCCCTAGGTCGACTCAGCCTCAAATGAGTACCTGGTGCGGTGTGTAAACATTGCCACGAGGGAGACAAAGGCGGTCGGGCGTGGTGCTGGCCACCCACCCCCTCGTGTACCGTTCCGGCCTTCATAGGTGCTCGCTAACAGCACTTGCCCCTACAGTCTGTTAAGGCTATATGGGGGATCTTTGTCTTTGTGTGGGTGATGGTGGTGTGTGGGTGATGGTGGTGTGTGGGTGATGGTGGTGGTGTGTGGGTGATGGTGGTGGTGTGTGGGTGATGGTGGTGGTGTGTGGGTGATGGTGGTGGTGTGTGGGTGATGGTGGTGGTGTGTGGGTGATGGTGGTGGTGTGTGGGTGATGGTGGTGGTGTGTGGGTGATGGTGGTGGTGTATGGGTGATGGTGGTGAGTGGTAGTGAGTGGGTGATGGTGGTGTGTGGGTGATGGTGGTGGTGTGTGGGTGATGGTGGTGCGTGGGTGATGGTGGTGCGTGGGTGATGGTGGTGGTGTGTGGGTGATGGTGGTGTGTGGGTGATGGTGTGTGGGTGATGGTGGTGGTGTGTGGGTGATGGTGGTGGTGTGTGGGTGATGGTGTGTGGGTGATGGTGGTGGTGTGTGGGTGATGGTGGTGGTGTGTGGGTGATGGTGGTGGTGTGTGGGTGATGGTGGTGGTGTGTGGGTGATGGTGGTGGTGTATGGGTGATGGTGGTGGTGTATGGGTGATGGTGGTGAGTGAGTGGTGGTGGTGAGTGGGTGGTGGTGAGTGAGTGAGTGGGTGATGGTGATGGTGGTGAGTGGGTGATGTTGGTGGTGTGTGGGTGATGGTGGGGGGTGATGGTGGTGAGTGGTGGTGAGTGGTGGTGAGTGGGTGATGGTGGTGGTGTGGGGGTGATGGTGGTGAGTGGTGGTGTGTGGGTGATGGTGGGGGGTGATGGTGGTGAGTGGTGGTGTTTGGGTGATGGTGGGGGTGATGGTGGTGGCGTGTGGGTGATGGTGGGGAGTGATGGTGGTGAGTGGTAGTGCGTTGCTAGGTTAATGCGCTGACTTTGGTGCCAGTGCGTGTCACTTGTTTCACTGTGTGTGTCACTCTGTGCGTTTGTGTCACACTGTGTCACTGTATATCGTCACACAGTTGGCACAGTAGGGGGCACAGCTGGTGCATCTGCCAGTCATCTCAGTCAACCCATGGCACTTTGTGGGTCTGTCCCGTCACCACCTCCTGCACCTAGCCTGGCACAACAGTCAACCCATGGCACTTGCTGGGTCTGTCCCGTCACCACATCCTCCACCTAGCCTGGCACGGTGCGAAGCCGTTCAACATGCACAGAGACCCATAGACTTATCACACAGACCCATAGACTCACCACAGAGAGACCCTTAGACTCATCACACACAGACCCATAGACTCATCACACACAGACCCATAGACTCATCACACACAGACATAGACTCACCACGCAGAGACACATAGACTCATCACACACTGACCCATAGACGTCACGCACAGACCCATAGACTCACCACACACAGAGACCCATAGACTCATCACACACCGACCCATAGACGTCACGCACAGACCCATAGACTCACCAAGCAGAGACCCTTTGACTCATCACACGGAGACCCATAGACTCACCACACACAGATACCCATAGACTCACCACACACTGACCCATAGACTCACCACACACTGACCCATAGACTCACCACACACAGACCCATGACTCAACACGCAGAGATCCATACTCATCACACACAGACCTATAGACCCACCACACACAGATCCATAGACTCACCACACACAGACCCATAGACTCATCACACACAGACCCTTAGACTCATCACACACAGACCCATAGACTCATCACACACAGACATAGACTCACCACGCAGAGACACATAGACTCATCACACACTGACCCATAGACGTCACGCACAGACCCATAGACTCACCACACACAGATACCCATAGACTCACCACACACTGACCCATAGACTCACCACACACTGACCCATAGACTCACCACACACAGACCCATGACTCAACACGCAGAGATCCATACTCATCACACACAGACCTATAGACCCACCACACACAGATCCATAGACTCACCACACACAGACCCATAGACTCATCACACACTGACCCATAGACTCGCCACACAGAGACCCATAGATTCATCACACACAGACCCATAGACTCATCACACACTGACCTATAGACCCACCACACACAGATCCATAGACTCACCACACAGACCCATAGACTCACCACACACAGACCTATAGACTCGTCACACACAGACCCATAGACTGATCACACACAGAGAGCCATAGACTCACCACACAGAGAGCCATAGACTCACCACACAGAGACCCATAGACTCATCACACAGAGAGCCATAGACTTATCACACAGATACCCATAGACTCACCACACAGAGACCTGTAGACTCGCCACACAGAGACCCATAGACTCACCACGCAGACACCCATAGACTCACCACACAGAGACCCATAGACTCATCACACAGAGACCCATAGACTCACCACACAGAGACCCATAGACTCACCACGCAGAGACCAATGGACTCATCACACAGAGACCCATAGACTCATCACACAGAGACCCATAGACTCATCACACAGAGACCCATAGACTCATCACACACAGACCCATAGACTCACCACACACAGACCCATAGACTCGTCACACACAGACCCATAGACTCATCACACACAGACCCATAGACTCATCACACACAGAGACCCATAGACTCATCACACAGAGACCAATGGACTCATCACACAGACACCCATAGACTCATCACACACAGACCCATAGACTCAGCACACACTGACCCATAGACTCATCACACAGAGACCCATTGACTCATCACACAGAGACCCATAGACTCGCCACACAGAGACCCACAGATTCATCACACACAGACCCATAGATTCATCACACACAGACCCATAGATTCATCACACACAGACCCAGACCCATAGACCCACCACACAGAGACCCATAGACTCACCACACACAGACCCATAGACTCACCACGCAGACACCCATAGACTCACCACACACAGATACCCATAGACTCGCCACACACAGACCCACAGACTCATCACACACTGACCCATAGACTCGTCATGTACAGACCCATAGACTCACACAGAGACCCATAGACTCATCACACAGAGACCCATAGACTCACACAGAGACCCATTGATTCATCACACAGATACCCATTGACTCATCACACAGATACCCATTGACTCATCACACACAGACCCATAGACTCACCATGCTGAGACCCATAGACTCAACACACACTGACCCATAGACTCACCACAAACAGACCCATAGACTCAACATGCAGAGACCCATAGACTCACCACACAGAGACCTATAGACTCACCACACAGACACCCATAGACGCGCCACACAGAGACCCATAGATTCATCACACACAGACCCATAGACTCATCACACACTGACCCATAGATTCACCACACACAGACCCATAGACTCATCACACACAGACCCAGACCCATAGACCCACCACACAGAGACCCATAGACTCACCACACAGAGACCCATAGACTCACCACGCAGAGACCCATTGACTCATCACACAGAGATCCATAGACTCGCCACACACAGACCCATAGACTCATCACACACTGACCCATAGACGTCACGCACAGACCCATAGACTCACCACACACAGAGACCCATTGACTCATCACACAGAGACCTATAGACTCACCATGCAGAGACCCATAGACTCACCACACACTGACCCATAGACTCACTACACACAGACCCATAGACTCACCACACACTGACCCATAGACTCACCACACACAGACTCATGACTCAACACGCAGAGATCCATACTCATCACACACAGACCTATAGACCCACCACACACAGATCCATAGACTCACCACACACAGACCCATAGACTCATCACACACTGACCCATAGACTCGCCACACAGAGACCCATAGATTCATCACACACAGACCCATAGACTCATCACACACAGACCCATAGACTCATCACACACAGACCCATAGACTCATCACACACTGACCCATAGACTCATCACACACTGACCCATAGATTCATCACACACAGACCCATAGACTCATCACACACAGACCCATAGACTCATCACACACTGACCTATAGACCCACCACACAGATCCATAGACTCACCACACAGAGACCCATAGACTCATCACACAGAGACCCATAGACTCACCACACAGAGACCCATAGACTCACCACGCAG